AGATTTTATCCAAGGGTGTGATGTTGTAATTGTTAATAGACACATGATATATTTTCAATCTATCTTGTTTAAAATACAGTAATTCCCCAATAAGCTTACTGCTAATTGTACATGACGAGAAATATACTCCAATCTCATCAATTTGATTATGAAGGAACAATATGGTGCATAATCTTTGGACATGACCCTTTAATGTTCACTCCTTGAAGAAAGCAATGGCTTGTCCCGGTTACGGCACAATGCTCACCCCGTCGTAACAAATGCCCGTATAAGGAAGTTGGCACCAGCTAGCTCATGTTCAAATCAGCTTCTGCAATCGGCCAACACCATGAAATCAGCACTTGGCTTGTGCACTCCTCATCTAGTAGTAAGTAAGTAATAGTATTTATTTATATAGCGCTTCCTCTTCTAGAGTCTATGATTTCACACACACACAATCTATGAAATCGCTTTGACAACAAGCTGCAGCAGTGAGACCGTGGCCTGGTTTAAACTATACCAGGATAACAGACAGACTTTTCTCCTTTTATAGTGCCATCGCCAAACAGATGTTGAGGAATTGAACGCGTGTGAATCCTTCTCACATCTGATTCAAACATGCATGCATAAATACGCAACGGCACACATTGTTTTGCAGTGAGAGCAGAGGAGGGAAAGTGCTGACTGGCATGATAGATGGAAATGCAAAGTACAGCCCTGGTTTATCAGCTGAAATATACATGGATGAACTGGGTGAAGGCACTGGTGCAGGCTGATAGACGCCTCCATGTTGGGATTGTTTGGGTTTTGCATTATTGTGGCCAAACAGCTGAACAATACAGGGGGCGTCCATATTTAGAATGGATATGCCCTGAGTTTTTCCTGCGGTAAAAAAACAAAAAACTTTAGTATTTACTGTAGAAGCGCAGACTTTGTGGTGTTTATGATGCATTCCCGCTCAGCTTATAACCGCACACACTTGAGATAATACCTTCATTGGAATTCATGAAAAACGAACTTCCTTCTCCCGTTTATTGACAGATGACTTCTCTTCTAGTTCATGAGGTTGAGAACAATTCCATTAAGGCAGATATTTCTGTTGTGTCTGATTTTGTTCAGAGTAAAAGTAACAACAAGAGTTTTGTTTTGTGAAGCAATTATCTCATACAGTATGTTTGTAAAGTTCTAACCATTCTTATTGTAGAAATTAAAGACACAGTACTTGAACTACTATAAGTGCATCTGTGTATAAACCATACCAGCTCCATTTTAAGACATTTTGTACATTTTAAAGTACATTTTGTCCAAACATGTAAGATCTCATCAACAGCTGATGGAGCAAGCGTTCCATCCCTCTAAAACTTGAGTCAGAATAATAACTCTGCTTCGACGATATCACTGATCTCAAAAAAATAAGTCCCATGTAACAAATATAACACATTAGCTGCATCTATAAGCTGTAGGGTTCAAAACACTAGTCTAGTAAGTACGGTAAATGCTTGACAAACAGTTTTTCACAACATCATTTGAGTCAGAGCTGAGCAGTGCAGATTTTGACACTTTGTATAAATAATGAAAAAGACGAGATGTCTCATTTGGAATGTGAAGATAATACTTCTGCTTGACAACAAGAGGAAAGATATTTTCCTATTCAGCAAATATATAAAATAGTCGAATAAAGCGAAATGTTCTCGAATTCAAGTGATTTTGTTTTGGCTTTTTCCAGTGCACTCCAACAGTGTGCAGGAGCAAATCTAAAATCTGTCTTCCCTGCTCTGCTCTGCAGTCTGGGCTCAGAGAGAATGAGAAGGTCCTGAGTGCAGACTGTGACCACTACTGCTGGAAATTGAAATTGAAAAGTGTTTGAATACGAACATCTTACATTTCTCTTAAGCAAACCTGGAGTAGTCTCATAAAAGGTCAATAAGGAAGGATGTATTTTAGAGACTTCAGAAGCAGACCACACGGAGCAGAACTGGACACGACAAAACCAAATCTACATCAGAGCTGCTGCTTACCTTGCCAATGCAGACAACGTGTTCTTTCTTTGGAGACGTCCCGAAGTTTATCATTACCTAAAAGAAGTGAAAATCAAGATTAGAGCCAGGCAGAATATATCACAGAATATTAGAATACAAATCATATGGAATCACACTTATACGATTTGTGTATCTTTTTATTTCATTTTAATCTCAAATAAAAATAGTGTAATATTGTTTGATTCTCTGATTTGTTGTTGGCGAATCAACACCTTTTTGAAGTCCTCCAAGACGATTTATCCATTTTAATTGAATTGAACAAAGGCTGGTTACAAAATAATACACATTTCAGTCAGATTGGGATGATAATGGGTTGTTCTTGTTCATGTTTTGCCAATATAGGTATAACAACATAATAGAAGGTAAATGACCACTTTTTTTATTTGCTTTTCTATGGCCTTTATACACTGTCTACACAAAAAACATAGAAATTACACTTTCTGTTTTTGCCATCAGCAGCTGAACCAACAGCCTCTCACCCTCTCCACTCGGGGACTAAGAATTGTGATATCATATTAATCACGGTATATTTGAAGAGCACATTTGCAAAAGCAGATAAGTGCTATGAGAAAAATATGTGAAATTGTTTCTTTACCAATCTGTTTTTGAAGCTATACAGAGTTCATGCAATATAACAGTAAAGTTTCCCTCCTTCTAGAGCAACTTTTCTGCCAAAACCAAACCTTCTTAAGATTATAACTAAAAGAATACTACTTTTTGAAATCAATTCTAAACAAATATGCGTTTTTATTTTTTGAACAAACTCACATAATGCATTGTTTATTATGGGTCTCATCAAAAGCTGCCCCTTTACCTCATCCCTTCTCCACATAACTGGTGTATTCTGGTCTCTAGCTCTCAGACAGGATATTAGACCAATCACATAAGGCACAGTGTCAAAGCGGGACATTAACAGCTCCGGAGTGCTGATGTTAATTAGCCTAAGTAATGAACGTCTCCCAGTACGTATATCTTTAGCAGGCAAAGATGGCATCGCAAAACGATGAGATCTGAACTTGTGCCCCCCGCGGTTCTAACGGCAAAGACACAGCCCCCGTGACGAGCCGATATGTATGAATCAAAGCTCTCGGTGTAGGTCTCTACTTAAACCCCATCCACTGTCTTCACTTAGATAATGAATTATGGATCGCAGCCAGCGCCATGCTCAATATTAGATGAACCGCGCATCTTCATTTGGTGACAGTGCGACCGGGCTCATGCGGGACGATCCTGACGCCGACATATACGGGGGGAAGAGCATTATTATCCATATTCATGAAGAGGACCTTTGCCGAGGGCGTGATGAGAGGAGCTTACTTGGAATGCTCCGGCTGTGAGTTCATCATAAGAGCTGGGAGAAGTGGAGATTTACTCAACTCTGCAGGGAAGGTTCAATCTGTATATGGGCTTTGAAAACTCATAAGGATTATATACCTTCAACCCAAATGCATTTACAGTATGACGTGTTGGGGAGGCTCTTCCAGTCTCCGGCAGATTTATGAGCTGCATGTTGTGATCAAGAATAATGGAGGACATTAAGGCAAGAAACTACTCTGTTTTATGTTCCTTTCATGGATAGATCTCTATTTTCTACAGAATCATTGTGTTTGTTAAGAAATAAATAAATAATGTATATACTGTTCATGTATTTGTGTGTTAAATGTGTTTTTTTTGTATGAAGGTGGTATTGTACAGAGCTGGTGGTGCCTTTAAAGGTTTAAATAATAGTGAAGTTTCTTCTAAGAGTGAAAAATGACTGATGTTCGATGATATTGAAAAAACAGTTTGTTTACAGTAACATTCCAGCAACAACTATGTAATTAATGCCTATAGTCATTGCAATGGAGACAATGTACAGACTGGTTAGAACGTTACTTTGAGCCCAGAGGACAGTTTGTATCAGTGGCGGCCGGCCAATAGAGGGCGCTAGGGCGCCGCCCCACCACTCACAACTTGCCATGTTACCTTGGATAAAACGTTAAAAAAAATAATAACATTAAAATATTTCGAAATTTATGTGTGTTTTATTTCAGATGTGGAAGAAATACTTTATAGTTTATGCTGAGTTGGATTGATTAAGCTCATCAGCGTTGTCTGTGTCGGACTGAGGACGTATTTCCGCCTCAGGGCGCAAAAGATTGCGCCCTGAGCCGTCTATGGACTCTCGTTAAAAGTTGTACATGCGCAGTAGCTCCTCTTCAATGCAAGAGATAAGACGATTTGGGGGCGCAGGAGAAGTGCGCCCTGAGGGGGCGGGATCGCCCGCGACCTGTACTGTCACTGTCTGTGACGTCCGTTTACAGTGATTGACAGGTCAAGCTGTGGGAGTTTGAGACGAACGTAAAGAGACGCAAAATGGAGAACGAGAAAAAGAATAATTCAGTTAGATCACTCAAAACAATACCGTTTGAGAGAAGATCATACCAGGAGAAGGTTGAGGTTAAAGAGCTTGGACCTGATCAGCCAAATATTACCATTAGTCAGCAGTCCAGCGACAGGGGGAGACGGTACACTCGTACTTTTTCCAGGACCTGGTTCAGCGCCAAATCTTGGCTAGCAGCATGTAGCGAGGCTAATGCTTTATTTTGCTTTCCATGCCTCTTGTTTCAAACATCAGGATCTGACCCAGCATGGATCAAGACAGGTATGACTGATCTGAAGCACTTTTTAGAAAAGGCAAAGAAGCATGAGCAGACTGGTATCCACATGCAAAATTCAAATTCAAATTAGCTATGTTTGGGAAGATAAATATTTCATCCCAGCTGGATGAAAGCTACAGGGTAGGGATCAGAAAGCATCCCTACCCTGCTGGTATATATCTAGTCATCATATTCATAGCCCCCCCAGTAGAAAATTCCACCAGCCGCCACTGGTTTGTATAAGTCTGATACAAACACAATACAAACACGATACACTAATACACACAAACAAGAGCGTCACTAGAAACCATGAAGAACTGGAATTTGTTCAAGTCTGAGGACGATGAGCGTCTGTAGTGAGGCCTTTGACCTGGATGCTAAGCTTGCCCCACATCATGAGGGGGCATTCAAGATCATGAGCCCCAGAGGAGTCCAGAAGAGTCCAAACGAGTCCATAATGCAGCCTCCTTCTCCTCTGGAGGATTGGTGCGGGCGCTCCAGGAACAGCTTCAGGAAACACGGACTGAAATCAACACTCCAAGAACTGACTTCAGACTCAGCAACAACAGGCTGAGGACGCTGCTCAAACCACAAAGCACAGGTTTATAGTGTAGTTTAAGTTCAGATGGATGAGGCAAATCCAGGCCTAGTGCTCATCTAGGAAAATACTTTAATGGCAAGATAAAATAATGCAATAGAATATCAGGCCTAACCATGAGCTGTAGCTGAAGAGCTGTGTCAGCGAGTGTGACTGTGGACGTGTGACTTCCAGGACCATGGACACAGACGACGCTCTCAGCAAGACATGTCCAGTCAAACTGCTCCTGAGAACTCTATCTCAGAGCTGCAGCAGAGGAAGCAGCAGCTCACAGACACAGAGCTCCAGTTACAGCAGCAGGCCAAGGACTTTGGAGAGATCTGCTACCTCTATAACGCAGCTGTGTGTGACAAGGCCACTCTGGGGCTGGATCTCACCTCTGCTAATAAGATGATTGGAAAACAGAGGAAGAGACTGGAGCAGCAAGACGCAGTGATACGTGATCTGCAGGATAAGACAGATGACCGTAACTGTACAATCACCTGCAGCAGCAGCTTAGTGCCGAGCCGCACTAAAGCAGCTTCCACCAAAACCAACCAAAGCTGCTCAACAAGGTGAAGGAGCTCATGTTTGAAAGGCTTGGCCATCTGTTTGGGACGTCTCCTGGCCAAATCCCTGGAGAGAATGTCCCTCCAGAGGAGACCCCAGGACCAGAAAAGCTGCTGTACCCCAAATAAGAAAAACACATTTCTGGCAATAACATTTCCAATAACATTTCACACACACACGTTTCTTGCTTTTATATACACAGTAGATGCATCCACAATGAATAAGATGCCTCTCTTTTTCTGATTCCAAATACACTATTTGCATTATGAACATACACTTCTGTTGATTCTAAAGGCCTCATTAATCATCCCAGGTGCTGCCGGTGCACAGCAAAAACAACAGCAGCAACAGTGCAATTTCCCTGGTTTAGTTTAGAACATCATCACTTTTGCATATGACAAAATATTTGATAATTGAGGCTCTGTGAGTGCTCTTTTAATGCATGCATATTCGGATAACTCAGGATGCTCAGGATGCTATTTGAAGAAGCAGCGACGCTCTGGTCCTGCGCAGGTTAATTCTGCATGGTCTTTTAAATGCAGGAGGAGTGACAAGTGGCTCCAAATGCACCAGGCTGCTGCTCCTTCCGCCTGATTTCACACAAGTAAAAACGCGGCTCGTCTCTCTGCTCTGAAAGAGAAAGGGCCAAACCGCACACATGTAAAGTGATGCGGAGAACGTTCAGAGGAACAGGGCTGAGGCTGGGGGCAGCGGAGCGATTAAGAGCTGGTCCAGTGTGGACCTCTATGACTGCATGTAGCTATCTCCTCTGCACAGAAAAAGATTTGCGAAATTACATGGCATTAAAAGCAGTACAAATGCCAGGGTATGACATGGGTCTCTCTGTGAGGAACCTTAAAAATGCAACCGCTACCCTGGTATTTCATTTCATTCCGACATGTTTGCAGCAAGTTGTGCGGCACGTTCTCAAAGCTACAGTCGCAAAAATGAAAGATAGAATGTAATTTGTTTAAAAGCCATACAGTATATGCACTCTGAAGGACAAGAGCATGAGGGTATTTTAAACTGCATGATTAAATAATACCATAAAATGACAAGGGCTGCAAGATTATCAATTCCATTGCCTTTCTATGTGGAGTTTGCATGTTCTCTCTGTGTCTGTGTAGGTATCCTCCGGGTGCTCCTACCACTATACATTTTCTCAATAGTTCAGAGTGGATGAGTGTTTTCGTGAGATTGCTAAAGACTACGATCTAGGGAGGTTTGTTCATTAACATGCAGTGTCCCAACCAAAAAATGAATAATATTGCCACAACATTTATCGCAATATTTTTCTTCTCCAGATACATTAATACACAGAACTGAAGAAATCTCTCCGAAATTGCTGTGTTTTGTTGTTTTGAGCCTCTGTACCACAAGAATCTGGAAATGGAATATGGAAAAGCCTATGCACAAAAGAAACATGTGACTTATACATCCAATAATTGCACATCTTTGCAACATCAACATTGCACTTGCCATTACAGAGATAAAGATATTGTGCAGCTGTAGTAAATGCTGCATCTTCTGCAGTAATACAGACTAGCGTGTGCTACAAGTTGGCTCTAACTATTGATCATGCAGTTAGTAGTGGAATGGAAAAGTCTATTCATTTAGTGTGATGTCTATCGATTCTGTGAAGTCCTTTGAGATGTCTGCTGTTGTGATTTGGGGATATACAAAATTAAATTGATTTGATTCAATTTGGTTTCTCCATGATACCATGCAGCAAAGACATGTACTGTGGTTCTAAAACAGACATATTATGGGGATTAATGTTATTGTAATGTAACAAATGTTGCCAATAAAAACAGGTTTTTATATCCGTGCTCCTTGTGAGTTCTTACTCTACTGTCCTGTTTGTGTACTGCAACTCTCAAATTTCCCCACTGTGGGACGAATAAAGGATCTCTTATGTTACCTATTAGACTATTTCATATAATATATTTATATACAATAGTATTGTGTCTATGTGACTTCAAAAATATCTGCATGATAGCACTGGTCGTGAGGAGACCAAAACAAGATGTTACCAAATGCAGTGGGTCACTGCAATGTTATAAGGACCATTGGCCAATCTTGTTTTAGTGCAGTCATTTTGCCAAATTTGAGTAATTTTGCAAAAAAAAAAAATTCATCACTTTTTCCCTTCCTGCAAAGGTGTTCCGTGCATGTCCCACCAGGAAGAAGACCTGAGGACGAACCAGGAACTGGACACACTGGGACTATGGCATTTCTGCACATACTGCTGCCTTTGCGACCCGGCAACGGATATTTCCGAATAAAAGCTATAGATGGATTTATGGAAATATGTTTAAAGACTAAGGAAAGGGCTCAGACGAATAAACTATAAATGTGACTTTCTGGAGTGTTCATGTTATCAGCATAGTTCTATAGAAATAGGCAGTTTAAATATTACTTCAGAAGTTTCATGAAATCATCTTTATTATATTTGTCCACTTTATTTTTCCCAGCATGCAAATGCATCCCTATGGGTCCTTTCAATACCATTAAATCTGGAGACTTGATTTATGCTGTTATCCATCTCCAGATTTGGTCAGGACCTGAGAGGTAGTATTTTACCTCCTGGAAATGTTTTTGGGTGGAGGGGAATCAAGAACCCTGGAGAGACCCACCTAAACATGGGGAGAATATGCAAAAAGGCCCAGTGATTAAACCCAAGCTCACTGTAAAGCAAGGGAATGCAAGGCCCTTTGGTTGCATGTCCGGTTTGTGGAGATTCAAGCTCTGTTAAAAGAAAAGATGTCATAAAAATATCCAACATAAAGTTTGTTTATTTCTGTTGTTAATCAGTGGGGCTTTAAGAATATATTTGGCAACAAAACAGAGAAAAAGACATTAGAAAATGTCAATTACTCCCACACCTCCCACTGCCGCCTTCCTTGGCTCCCCAGCTTCAGTCTAACAATAGCACTGCTCCTTCTAACTCTTTGCATTCTCGTTGAAAAGTTACAAAAGCAAAAATTAAATAATTACTTCTTTACTTTTCTTGGGGACTCATATCGCAGTGGAAACAGCTGAATATGCAGAACGCGAGAAAACAACACAATTACAGCAAAAAATATACATTTCATCTTGACTTTTTTTCAATATACCCTGTGGTGAATCAATTAGCTCACTTAAGGGACTGCCACAATTTATCTTGAATATTTATTTTGTTGTGTAAAAACAAGCTGGAGAGATATTTCAGTCCGCTCTGTGGCATGGATTCCACAAAGCCACTTAAGCGCTGCAGCCTCCCTCGAGCCCAATATTGATTTATATTATGTGAGAACAATGAGAATCTCAGTGTGGAGCGGCCTGGGCCTGTTCCGTCTCCCCACATAAGAGGAAGTGTTTTTCAATAGCGCGGGCATTAATCATGTGTAAATATCTATCTTATTGTCAGTGTTCTCAGAGCCAAGTCTGCGCTGTAGTTAATATTCATTATGACACAAGTCGGAGGAATCCTCTTTTCATCTTCATATTAATGTTTCCAGATGGAGCGCTTTATCTCTCCGAGGCGAGGGGCCGGTTCACCTCACGCAGATGTAGGACAGATACGGCTGTGCGGCCATACAGTACACACGCAAACGCAACATGCTGTGTGTTATAATCATCTGTTCAGTTACGGTCCAAATCCTTCTTCTTGATCAGTCCTGGATCTACAGCCGCTCCGATCGTGGGGGTGGGTCTCTCTCTCTCTCACTGTGGTGCGTTTTCTCTGACTGGGTTTTTTTTTTAGTTTGTGAGGTCTAAAGACAGGTGATGGATGATCCGGGGACATTTAATATTAAGAGATACTATATTCAGCCCACAGCGGGGAAATTTCAGTGTTGCATCACCAGTTACAGAACATTAGGAATGAGGAGCACACCGCACAAGATAAATTAATAATATATCTACACTAAATTAAAAAAAATACAATAAAATCTCCAACTTTAGCATGATGAAGAAGCAAGAATGAATGAGTCTATTTTTATGTTATGTTCCCTTTAAGTTTATGAAATGTCGGCCATAACTTCTTCCCGACAATATGCAACTATGGCACCTTGTACCTCATGTTAAAGGTAATTTTCTCAGTAAAAAAAATAATTTAAGTAGTTTACTTTTTTAATGGTACTTATCCAATTTTACCTTTGGTCCAGTTCTGTTTCAGTCCAAACATAACTCATTTGGTTCAGACAAACCAAACAATTGTTTAAAAATATCTCCATTGTGTAAAAAATAACTAGGCTACACAAAAATAACAAAAGATGAGCTACAGTATAAATAAACTATCCACAAATAAGACACTGGATATCTTCTCTCCTTCCCTTCTTTGAATTGAATGAAGCCCCAAAAATACCCAGAATACTTTTTTTTTTTAATCAGCGTTTAAAATCAGCCATAGAATCATCGGCTGTTTGCGAATTGACAATTCTGTGATGCCCTTCGAGATGAATATAAATAGAATTTTTACACAGAATATTCCTCAGACCTAAAAAAAACGTAACAATGCAATATGCCTGTGCACACATTTCTGTATTGGACCTGCATATTTATTTTTACATTATCACCGTGTGCAAATATTTGGGTAAGCGCTGCAACAATTACAGAAAAATTATCACATTCAAAAGTGAAAAAAAAATAGAAAAAGAAATGGTGCAGTGAAACCACATTTGTCATCGATCATAATGTTCTCTTTCTCTCATCTACTCAGACAAATCTCATCTTTTAAGAATCCTATTTCGAAATGATTACAATAAATATTTTCAACAACACACATTAAATGGTGTGAAGCCATTTCTCCTCCATATTATTCAGTCAAGAATAATTGTCAGCTGTCTCTGGCTTAAGTGCACTGTGTTTACTTAAAGACGCTGCTGGAAGAAGGATTATACATGAATAAAAACTCTTTGTTATCATTTAATTCACTGTTTGGAGGAGAATAACTGTATTATGCAACATGTAGCATTTGGCTGTGGCTGCATGAAGACGGCAAATGACTCAAAATAAAAATACATCCA